CGAGGTATTGGTCCTACCGTGTTTCAGATCTGCCTTGTGTTCACGAACGCGGTCCGAGACACGTCGCTTAGTTTCCACGATGTAACTGCTGCCGCAGACACAGCTTAGTTTGTAGACGCCGGGGTATTGCATGTCGGGGATCAAATCCTTCACAGATGGGATCAGATCACGAATTGTACGTACGCTGTTGAATCGGACCTGGATCTTGTTTGCTCATGGTTTTGTAAATATTTTTGGTGACCCCTGCTAATGTATGGCAAGGTCATGGTTTTGATTGGGTCCTCAGATGGTTCTTTCCCAACGGTTGGGCTGATAGCTTCACGGATTGTGTAGTCTGAATATCCATGTGACCAGGTAGTAAGGCCCCAATGGGAGACCTGGACATCACAAATGACAACAGCTCACCCACGTGGCTGACACCATCACCACCGTGTGGATATTCACATCAGCAGCCAGCTACTCTGAACGTGCGGTGACGTTGATTCTAAACGTGGAGAGGAAAACCGGAGGACACGGAGACAAATCCACGCAGCGACCACCACGGGGAGAGAGACGCAGACTCCACATATACATCAGCAGGCGTCGTCAGGGTCGGGATCGAACCCACGACCTTCTGTATACCTGGCGAGGTCGTCAACATTTCCTAGCCACACACAAAGAGAAAGCAGCAGGCATCGTCAGGGTCGGGATCGAACCCACGACCTCCTATAGACCAGGCGAGGTAGTCAACATCTCTAGCCACACACAAATAGACAGCAGCAGGCGTTGTCAGGGTCGGGATCGAACCCACGACCTCCTGTAGACCAGGCGAGGTCGTCAACATCTCCTAGCCACACACAAAGAGACAGCAGCTAGAGTCTTCATCAGGGTCGGGATCGAACCCACGACCTCCTGTAGACCAGGCGAGGTCGTCAACATCTCTAGCCACACACAAAGAGACAGCAGCTAGAGTCTTCATCAGGGTCGGGATCGAACCCACGACCTCCTGTATACCAGGCGAGGTAGTCAACATCTCTAGCCACACACAAAGAGACAGCAGCAGCTGTTGTCAAGGTCAAGATCGAACCCACGACCTCCTGCAGATCAGGCGAGGTCGTCAACATCTCCTAGCCACACACAAAGAGACAGCAGCTAGAGTCTTCATCAGGGTCGGGATCGAACCCACGACCTCCTGTATACCAGGCGAGGTCGGCAACATCTCATAGCCACACACAAAGAGAAAGCAGCAGGCATCGTCAGGGTCGGGGTCGAACCCACGACCTCCTGTAGACCAGGCGAGGTCGTCAACATCTCATAGCCACACACAAAGAGACAGCAGCAGCTGTTGTCAGGGTCGGGATCGAACCCACGACCTCCTGCAGACCAGGCGAGGTCGTCAACATCTCCCGGCCACCGTGGGGACCTTCCGGCTTCCTAATGGAAGTGGCTCCCATTGCCTCCGGACCCGCTGGTACTCACCACCACTGCTGGGGCTGCTCAGTTCGATTCCAGACCCTGGCCGGGTGAACGCAGAGGAGGTGGATGGCGACGATGATGGCTTCATCATCGATGTTGGAATACAAAAGCTCCCCGTCCTTCCAGGTTTCTTCTGCTGCTGATGCTGCTGCTGATTCTGCTGCTGCTGCTGATTCTGCTGCTGCTGCTGCTGCTGATAGTGATCCATGGGCCTTGACAGCTGTCGGGCAGCTGAGGTGTGGACTTTTGGCACCGGAGAAGATGGGGGGGAGGGAGGGGTGGGGGAGGGAGGGAGGGGTGGGAGGGAGGGAGGGGTGGGCTGTTATGAAGCGTGAAGTCCGAGCCTCCAGTTAGCACGGTGGCTATGTACTCCGACTCCCGGCCACGTAGTTTTACCTGGGCCCGCTCACCATCATGAAGGTGTCTGGGGAGGTCTGGACCGCATACCCAAAGCAGCCATTGCAGCTGCATGAGTCACAGTCCTAAACCTCGCCCATTTACCCTCGACATCAGGAGGAGTGGGGGACGATGCCAACCCCAGCCGCAAGCGATGATGAAATTCTCGCTTGCAACTTTCATCAGATAACTGAGACCAGGCCACTGTGGGTTTGAATGGGGTCCTGGGTGTACACCCACCACCGGAGTGGAAGAATGGCAGGTGCATCTTACAGATGACTAGTAGATGGTCAGAGGGCAGATCAGCTCCACGGTAGGTCCTGGTGTCAAGGACATGGGCTCGCATCCGCTGGTCCGTCACTATGTAGTCCAGCAGATGTTCTTGCTTGGACCCGGCCTGCATCCATGATGTGGTGTGGATGCGCCGATCCCGGAACAGCGTGTTGGTAATTACAAGCCCATGGGCTGCACAAAAATCTAGCAGCCTCCTACCGTTGTTATTGAGTTGATCTGGCCCATGCCCTCCAATCACTCCAAACCAGGTGCCAGCATCATGACCAACTCGGGCATTGAAGTCACCCAACAAGATGACTCTATCTCGAGGGGCCACTTTTGCCAGCACCTGTGACAGGTCATAGAAGGCATCTGACTCATTTGCCTTGCCTGCATCCCTCCACGGATGTTCGTCTTCAGTGGGTGCATAAATAACCACGACCACCACTCCTCACCTCCGGTTGATGGGAAGGCGAGCCCAAAGTAGCCTGGGGCTTACAGCTTCCCACACCTCACCGCCACGCTCCCACGCCCCCTTCATTCTTTTGTTCAAAAGAGCCACACCCTGTTGTTTGGCAGTCTGCTGTCCCGAGTAGAGGACTGTCCAACCCTCAGTAGCAGGAGCCAAAGCCGGTCCACTGGACCTCCTGAATGCCACATAGATCCAGGCGGTACCGGTCCAGCTCCCGACAGAGGAGTGGCAGCCTCTCCTCCGCAGTGAGCGTTCGAACATTCCACGTGGCCACACGAAGTGGCTTTTCGTTGTTTCTGGAGGAGCCCCGATGGTAGAGATTCAATCTCCTGGCTCCGCCAATTGGGGTTTGGCCAGGAGACGTCATAGACGCCTGTCCCCCCGGGGCCTCCGGCACAAGCTTATTCGTTACAATTTTAATTCGTGGTTTTGTGGTCAAATTTTTGAAGGTGGAGAGGTTACCAGCCCCTCGCACCCGTCCAGAGCTCCCGTTTAGCCACTGTGGTGGTCACAGACGCCATGAGGGGAGGGGCCAATCGGAATTGGCCCTCCCCCCACAGCACTGTCCACGACAGAGTTGCCCGTCCGGCACCGTAAGAAGGTAGGGGGTTGTTTTGTCAGTCACTATCACACACACTCACTATCACCCACACGCTCACTATCACACACACACTATCACACACTCACTATCAGAGTTACAAGTGCCGCCCTTTGACCCTATGACCTTGGCGACATACCAGGAGCGCCGTCCAACTCGAGGTCATCGAGGTCGGTGGTGATGAGTGGCGCCCCGTGGCGAGGGGGAGCCCAGGCCAACTCCTCCGGGCGGTCCTCACCAGGACTCCTCGCCATGGAGGCCTGGGCCGGGCGACGGGAACGGCCCCAACACCCACAGACACCGCCACTAAGAGTCTACACACTCGGGGTGTAGAGACTCGGGGTGTAGAGACTCGGGGTCTAGAGACTCGGGGTCTAGAGACTCGGGGTGTAGAGACTCGGGGTGTAGAGACTCGGGGTGTAGAGACTCGGGGTGTAGAGACTCGGGGTGTAGACACTCGGGGTGTAGAGACTCGGGGTATAGAGACTCGGGGTGTAGAGACTCGGGGTCTAGAGACTCGGGATGTAGAGACTCGGGGTGTAGAGACTCGGGGTGTAGATACTCGGGGTCTAGAGACTCGGGGTCTAGAGACTCGGGGTCTAGAGACTCGGGGTCTAGAGACTCGGGGTCTAGAGACTCGGTGTAGAGACTCGGGGTGTAGAGACTCGGGGTGTAGACACTCGGGGTGTAGAGACTCGGGGTATAGAGACTCGGGGTGTAGAGACTCGGGGTCTAGAGACTCGGGATGTAGAGACTCGGGGTGTAGAGACTCGGGGTGTAGATACTCGGGGTCTAGAGACTCGGGGTCTAGAGACTCGGGGTCTAGAGACTCGGGGTCTAGAGACTCGGGGTCTAGAGACTCGGTGTAGAGACTCGGGGTGTAGAGACTCGGGGTGTAGACACTCGGAGTGTAGAGACTCGGGGTCTAGAGACTCGGGGTCTAGAGACTCGGGGTCTAGAGACTCGGGGTCTAGAGACTCGGGGTCTAGAGACTCGGTGTAGAGACTCGGGGTGTAGAGACTCGGGGTGTAGAGACTCGGGGTCTAGAGACTCGTGGTCTAGAGACTCGTGGTCTAGAGACTCGGGGTCTAGAGACTCGGGGTGTAGAGACTCAGGGTGTAGAGACTCGGGGTCTAGAGACTCGGGGTCTAGAGACTCGGGGTGTAGAGACTCGGGGTGTAGAGACTCACGGTGTAGAGACTCGGTGTAGAGAATCGGGGTCTAGAGACTTGGGGTGTAGAGACTCGGGGTGTAGAGACTCGGGGTCTAGAGACTCGGGGTGTAGAGACTCGGGGTGTAAAGACTCGGGGTCTAGAGACTCGGGGTGTAGAGACTCGGGGTCTAGAGACTCGGGGTCTAGAGACTCGGGGTGTAGAGACTCGGGGTGTAGAGACTCGGGGTGTAGAGACTCAGGGTGTAGAGACTCGGGGTCTAGAGACTCGGGGTCTAGAGACTCTGGGTGTAGACACTCGGGGCGTAGAGACTCGGGAAGATCAGATCGCAGAGTAAACTACTCGATCCGTAATTGAAGAACGGTGACAAGATACACAGCACACAAGGTAGATAGCTGATGACAGTGATGGTGATTGTCTTCACCATCACCACTTTCATCATCCCCATCACCACCATCACTTTCATTATCACTACCGTCACCACCATCACCGTCATCATCACCACTTCTCTCATCATCGCCACTAACACCACCAGCACCACCAGCACCACTTTCACCACCACCACTTTCACCACCACCACTAACACCACCACTTTCACCACCACCACCAGCAACAGCAGCACCAGGTTGGCTACCTCTGTGGGTGGCACCTCGCTGTGGGCGGGCGCCATCTGCTGCAGGCGCGTGTGGCACAGCTTCTCCACCCAGCCCTGCACGTGACCCACGGCTCCACACTCCTCCCGCTCCGACTCGGACACCTCCACCCCCACAACAACAACAACAACCGCCACTCGCCACTAAGTGGCGGTGACGTCACCACGACGCTCGCGCTAGGCCATGTGCACCTTGAGGCCACGTGAAGTGTCGAACGCCCGCTGGCAGGAGGTCACGGGGCAGACCCAGCAGGTGCCACGGGTCGACTAACTGAGACGACTGGCTGATGCCCCCTACTGTGCCAACCTGCTGTGCTTTAGCCACCCGGCGCTCCGCTCGTTGTTGTGAGCGTCGCTCCTCCGCCCTCCGTTGTTGTCGGAGAGCGACTGCCTCCAACTGCCCAGTAGCGTCCTTCACGAGCCTCCTCCACAGAGGCCAATCTTGACACCGCTGGTACCAGTCATCGGCAAGTCCACTCAGCTCCACGTCCTCCTGTACCACGTCACTCCATCTCTTCTCTAGCCCGTGCCGCGCCCGTTCAGCCCCCTCGATCCGGCCGAACAAAAGCTGTTTCGGCATGCGGTGGCTGGGCATGCGGGCTACATGGATTCCAATTCTGATTCGCGTCACGATTCAGAATTGGAATCAGTATTCAGACTGCAGCGTGAGGAATCCGATGAGCTATGAAGCTCTTTACATCACAGCTGTCCAATCGGGGCACGCGGTCAGAACGTTACAACAAACAATACAAAAACACGATAGGTGTGCAACGTACGAGAAAGGTAAATAAATCACCCAAACACAGACACAATACAACACTACACCATCCCCATCCTAGCAAAAGCCCTACTGAGGGTATTAACGACCTGGCCATCACAAATAATAGCCGCTCAATAAAGTGGCCCCATCATTTGGACCTTCATAGCAGCCAAAATAATATGAATAGTCTAAACGCGCGGTTTCCAAATGTATAAGCCAGTCATGTCGGAACCTCAAGCGAGAAAATCTGAACAGCAGAATCAGTCCCGGACGAGCCCCCACTCAAGTCCGTGCCAAAATGAGACTGGAAGAGTAAAACATAAACCCCAAAACCATCTCGAAAATCATCGACACAAATAAATAAATAAAACTCTCCACTGATAAAAATGTGAATCGTCAGGTTGACAACCCAGTTGAATGTGCACCGCGGACAGACTCCACTCAGCCAGAGATGATGGCCAGTTCAGACTCATCTCCTGCCTCTATCTCCTGCCTCTGTCTATCTCCTGTATGTGTGTCTGTATGTGTGTACGTGTGTGTTTGTGTGGTGTAGAGCGGTAGTGTAGCAGATAGCGCTACGCTGCACTACGAACCCAGCGGCCCGAGTTCGATTCCCGCTCACGGCCGACACCAGTGACGATTATCTGAACTGGTCCTGGGCCTCTCCTAGGTTGACTCAGACTTAAATGAGTACCCGGTGCTGCGTGTAGTAAACATCGCCAGGAGGGTGTGGTGCTGGCCACCCACCGCCTCGTGCGCCATAGCGGCCTTCATAGGTGCTCGCTAACAGAACTTACCCCGACAGTCTCTTAAGGCTCCATGCTGTATTGTAGCGGTTAGCGCGCTACGCCGCACTACGAACCCGGCAACCCCGAATTCGATTCCCGCTCACGGCATCCCCCGCCGAGGGAAAATCACCCGCCGGGTCAGGGTAGCGGAACTGTGGAGCCGCGAGGCCTCACTGCCTGGCACAATACGAAACACCGACTCTGGTCGCTTAACAACGGCCCCAACGGAGCGGGGGGGCGGCCCGCCGGTCCCCGCCTCGGCCTCACCTCCTGCGCCAGGCGGTTGATCTTGAGGCGCTTCTCCTTCTTGACGGCCTCCTCCCGCTCCCGCAGGAGCCGCCCCTCAAACTCCACCTCCTTGCGGCTCTTCTTCAGCTCCACGGAGGCCACGGCGGCCCCCGCGGGGGCCTCCTCCTCATCCGCGGCAGCGGCCGCCGTGGAGGAGGAGGAGGAGGCCGCCCCCGGGGCGTCCGGCGCCGCTGCCCTCCGGCTCGCCGTTCCCTTCGACTTCTGCCGTCCCGTCCGGCCGGAAAGACGACGGGACAGACAGACGCATCGGCCTTTGTTTAGTCGGACACGGAGATCGGACAACACGGGACAGAGGAGACCAGGGACAGGGCGGCGGAGGAGGCCGTTGTGTATTAAACTGACCACTAAACTATTTTAAACTAACCACTACTTTTCATTTAAAGCTTTCGTGACTGCAGGGATTCATATTCTTGGTTCTTTCGGTAAAGTCACCACCACGTAGAAGGGAAACAATTGAATAATAAAAATATAAAACAATAAATTATCACGACGTTTCGACTGCAACACAAGCAATCATCATCAGGTGTGGTTTTCACACGAATATATAACCACTATTTTGTATGTTACCAGGTAGTCAGGCCTCACTGAGCTATGTAGCTCTCTTTCAGACACGTGACCTGGCTATCACAAATGACAACAGCTCACCCACTTGGCTGACACCATCACCACCGTGTGGACATTCACATCAGCAGCCAGCTACTCTGAACGTGCGGTGACGTTGATTCTAAATGTGGAGGGGAAAACCGGAGGAGGGCACGGAGACAAATCCACGCAGCGACCACCACGGGGAGAGAGACGCAGACTCCACATAGACATCAGCAGGCGTCGTCAGGGTCGGGATCGAACCCACGACCTCCTGTAGACCAGGCGAGGTAGTCAACATTTCCTAGCCACACACAAATAGACAGCAGCAGGCATCGTCAGGGTCAGGATCGAACCCACGACCTCCTGTAGACTAGGCGAGGTAGTCAACATCTCCTAGCCACACACAAATATACAGCAGCAGGCATCGTCATGGTCAGGATCGAACCCACGACCTTCTGTATACCATGCGAGGTAGTCAACAACTCCTAGCCACACACAAACAGCAGCAGGCATCGTCATGGTCAGGATCGAACTCACGACCTCCTGTAGACCAGGCGAGGTAGTCAACATCTCTAGCCATCGCGGCTTTGAATGTTTACAATATTTTTGATGTGTTCCGGTTCCATAAATGTTCCGGTAATAAGGAGGAGTGAGTACGATCGAGTCTCTACACCCCGAGTCTCTACACCCCGAGTCTCTACACCCCGAGTCTCTAGACCCCGAGCCTCTAGACCCCGAGTCTCTAGACCCTGAGTCTCTAGACCCCGAGTCTCTAGACCCCGAGTCTCTACACCCCGAGTCTCTAGACCCCGAGTCTCTACACCCCGAGTCTCTACACCCCGAGTCTCTACACCCCGAGTCTCTACACCCCGAGTCTCTAGACCCCGAGCCTCTAGACCCCGAGACTCTAGACCCCGAGTCTCTAGACCCCGAGTCTCTAGACCCCGAGTCTCTACACCCGGAGTCTCTAGACCCCGAGTCTCTACACCCCGAGTCTCTACACCCCGAGTCTCTACACCCCGAGTCTCTACACCCTGAGTCTCTAGACCTCGAGCCTCTAGACCCCGAGTCTCTAGACCCCGAGTCTCTAGACCCCGAGTCTCTAGACCCCGAGTCTCTACACCCCGAGTCTCTACACCCCGAGTCTCTACACCCCAAGTCTCTAGACCCTGAGTCTCTACACCCCGAGTCTCTAGACCCTGAGTCTCTAGACCCCGAGTCTCTAGACCCCGAGTCTCTAGACCCCGAGCCTCTACACCCCGAGTCTCTACACCCCGAGTCTCTAGACCCCGAGTCTCTAGACCCCGAGTCTCTAGACCCCGAGTGTCTACACCCCGAGTCTCTAGACCCCGAGTCTCTAGACCCCGAGTCTCTACACCCCGAGTCTCCAGACCTTGTAAGTCTCAAGAGCCTGACTGAGGCCCACATCTCAACAGGAAGTTTTCCCTTACGTTGCTGGGCATCACATCAACAACCGTGACTAATGAGCATGCGCAGTAGTCACAATCATCATCATCATCATCACAGCAAACACAGCACGGCACGGCACAGCAAACAGCATCATCACCTTCTTGAGGGTGGGGAAGTGACCCTCATAGCGATAGACCCATCCCAGCACTGGGCAGCCACAATCACACAAAAAGACAAAGGTCCCCCGTGTAGACTCTCAATGGACGGCAGGGGCAAGTGCTGTCTGTGAGCATCATGACAAAGACAAAGGTCCCCCGTGTAGCCTCAACACGCGGCAGGGGCAAGTGCTGTCTGTGAGCATCATGACAAAGACAAAGGTTCCCGTATAGCCTCTCAAAACACGGCAGGGGCAAGTGCTGTTAGCAAGCACCATGACGCACAAAGACAAAGGTCGCCCGTATAGCCTCTCAAGGCACAGCAGGGGCAAGTGCTGTTAGCAAGCACCATGACGCACAAAGACAAAGGTCCCCCGTGTAGCCTCTCAACACGCGGCAGGGCAAGTGCTGTTAGCGGCTATGAAGGGCGGCATTGCAGCTCCATGAGATGCAGAGTCAAGAGGGAAGGGTTGAGATGGGTGGGGGGAGGGGTGGTGGTGGTGGTGGTGATGGTGGTGGTGGTGATGGTGGTGGTGGTGATGGTGGTGGTGGTGGTGGTGGTGATGGTGGTGATGGTGGTGGTGGTGATGGTGGTGGTGATGGTGATGATGGTGGTGGTGGTGATGGTGGTGGTGGTGATGGTGGTGGTGGTGATGGTGGTGATGGTGGTGGTGGTGATGGTGGTGGTGATGGTGATGATGGTGGTGGTGGTGATGGTGGTGGTGGTGATGGTGGTGGTGGTGGTGGTGGTGATGGTGGTGGTGGTGGTGGTGGTGGTGATGGTGGTGGTGGTGGTGGTGATGGTGGTGGTGGTGATGGTGATGGTGGTGGTGATGGTGATGATGGTGGTGGTGGTGATGGTGGTGGTGGTGATGGTGGTGGTGGTGATGGTGGTGATGGTGGTGGTGGTGGTGGTGGTGATGGTGGTGGTGATGGTGATGATGGTGGTGGTGATGGTGGTGGTGGTGATGGTGGTGGTGATGGTGGTGGTGGTGGTGGTGGTGATGGTGGTGGTGGTGATGGTGGTGGTGGTGGTGGTGATGGTGGTGGTGGTGGTGATGGTGGTGGTGGTGGTGGTGATGGTGGTGATGGTGGTGGTGATGGTGGTGGTGGTGGTGGTGATGGTGGTGGTGATGGTGATGATGGTGGTGGTGGTGATGGTGGTGGTGGTGATGGTGGTGGTGGTGATGGTGGTGGTGGTGGTGGTGATGGTGGTGGTGATGGTGATGATGGTGGTGGTGGTGATGGTGGTGGTGGTGATGGTGGTGGTGGTGATGGTGGTGGTGGTGGTGGTGATGGTGGTGGTGGTGGTGATGGTGGTGGTGGTGGTGATGGTGGTGGTGGTGGTGGTGGTGATGGTGGTGGTGGTGATGGTGATGGTGGTGGTGATGGTGATGATGGTGGTGGTGGTGATGGTGGTGGTGGTGATGGTGGTGGTGGTGATGGTGGTGATGGTGGTGGTGGTGGTGGTGATGGTGGTGGTGATGGTGATGATGGTGGTGGTGATGGTGGTGGTGGTGATGGTGGTGGTGGTGATGGTGGTGGTGGTGGTGGTGATGGTGGTGGTGGTGATGGTGGTGGTGGTGGTGATGGTGGTGGTGGTGATGGTGGTGGTGGTGGTGGTGGTGGTGATGGTGGTGGTGGTGGTGGTGATGGTGGTGATGGTGATGGTGGTGATGGTGGTGGTGGTGGTGGTGATGGTGGTGGTGATGGTGATGATGGTGGTGGTGGTGATGGTGGTGGTGGTGATGGTGGTGGTGGTGGTGGTGATGGTGGTGGTGATGGTGATGATGGTGGTGGTGGTGATGGTGGTGGTGGTGATGGTGGTGGTGGTGATGGTGGTGGTGGTGGTGGTGGTGATGGTGGTGGTGGTGATGGTGGTGGTGGTGGTGATGGTGGTGGTGGTGGTGATGGTGGTGGTGGTGGTGATGGTGGTGGTGGTGATGGTGATGGTGGTGGTGATGGTGGTGGTGGTGATGGTGGTGGTGGTGATGGTGGTGGTGGTGATGGTGGTGATGGTGGTGGTGGTGATGGTGGTGGTGGTGGTGGTGGTGATGGTGGTGGTGGTGATGGTGGTGGTGGTGGTGGTGGTGATGGTGGTGGTGGTGATGGTGGTGGTGGTGGTGATGGTGGTGGTGGTGATGGTGGTGGTGGTGGTGGTGATGGTGGTGGTGGTGGTGGTGATGGTGGTGGTGATGGTGATGGTGGTGATGGTGGTGGTGGTGGTGGTGGTGATGGTGGTGGTGATGGTGATGATGGTGGTGGTGGTGATGGTGGTGGTGGTGATGGTGGTGGTGGTGATGGTGGTGGTGGTGGTGATGGTGGTGGTGGTGATGGTGGTGGTGGTGGTGGTGATGGTGGTGGTGGTGGTGGTGATGGTGGTGGTGGTGATGGTGGTGGTGGTGGTGGTGGTGATGGTGTAGGTGGTGGTGGTGGTGATGGTGGTGATGGTGGTGGTGGTGGTGATGGTGGTGATGGTGGTGGTGGTGATGGTGGTGATGGTGGTGGTGGTGATGGTGGTGGTGGTGATGATGGTGGTGGTGATGGTGGTGATGGTGGTGGTGGTGATGGTGGTGGTGGTGGTGGTGGTGATAGTGGTGATGGTGGTGGTGATAGTGGTGATGGTGGTGGTGGTGGTGGTGATGGTGATGGTGGTGGTGATGGTGGTGGTGGTGGTGGTGATGGTGGTGGTGGTGGTGGTGATGGTGGTGGTGATGGTGGTGGAGTTACCTACCACTACGTGGAGGATAGGAGAGGTAGGTGGTGATGGTGGTGGTGGTGATGGTGGTGATGGTGGTGGTGGTGGTGATGGTGATGGTGGTGGTGGTGGCGGTGGTGGTGGTGGTGGTGATGATGGTGACGGTGGTGGTGGTGGTGGTGATGATGGTGATGATGGTGGTGGTGATGATGGTGATGATGGTGGTGATGGTGATGATGGTGGTGATGGTGATGATGATGGTGGTGATGGTGATGGTGGTGGTGATGATGATGATGGTGATGATGATGGTGATGATGGTGATGATGGTGATTGTCGTGGTGGTGATGACGTCAAAGAAACAACATCGCGTTGACAACATCACAAACATCATCAACATCAACAACACATCACCAACACATCAACAACACATCAACATCAACAACACATCAACATCAACAACACAACAACATCACCAACATCACCAACACATCAACAACACATCAACAACACATCAACAACACATCAACATCAACAACACATCACCAACACATCAACAACACATCAACATCAACAACATCACCAACACATCAACAACACAAACATCACCAACAACAACAACACATCAACAACAACACATCAACATTATGAACAACACAACATCAACAAGACACCATCACCCCCCCCCCCCCATCATCACCATCATCACCATCACCCGGCCATCATCACCATCATCACCATCATCACCATCATTACCATCATCACCATCATCACGCGCCCATCATCATCATCATCACCACCCCATCACCATGACAACTCCCATCATCACACCACACACACACACGTGCACACGCACACACGTGCACACGCACACACACACGCACACACACCACACTCACATACACACGTGCACACGCACACACACACACACACAACACGCACCACACACACAGACACACACACACACCACACATACACACCACACGCACCACACACACAGACACACACACCAAACACACAGACACACACACACCACACACACACACGCACCACACACACAGACACACACACACCACACACACACCACACACACACACCACACACCACATGCACCACCATCACCAACGGGAGGAGTTCCCCGACTCCATCACCAGACAAGGCGACGCTCAAGATCACTGTGATGGTGCTGATGGTGGTGATGGTGATGGCTGTGGTGGTGATGGTGGTGATGGTGGTGATGGTGATGGCTGTGATGGTGGTGATGGCTGTGATGGTGGTGGTGATGGCTGTGATGGTGGTGGTGATGGCTGTGATGGTGGTGGTGATGGCTGTGATGGTGGTGGTGATGGTGCTGATGGTGGTGATGGTGATGGCTGTGATGGTGATGGCTGTGATGGTGGTGGTGATGGCTGTGATGGTGGTGGTGATGGTGCTGATGGTGGTGATGGTGATGGCTGTGATGGTGATGGCTGTGATAGTGGTGGTGATGGCTGTGATGGTGGCGGTGATGACTGTGATGGTGATGGCTGTGATGGTGGTGATGATGGTGGCGGTAATGGCTGTGATGGCTGTGATGGCTGTGATGGTGGCTGTGATGGTGATGGCTGTGATGGTGATGGCTGTGATGGTGGTGGTGATGGTGGCGGTGATGGCTGTGATGGTGGTGGTGATGGTGGCGGTAATGGCTGTGATGGTGGTGGCTGTGATGGTGGTGATGGCTGTGATGGTGGCGGTGATGGCTGTGATGGTGACGGTGATGGCTGTGATGGTGGTGGTGATGGTGGCAGTAATGGCTGTGATGGTGGTGGTGATGGCTGTGATGGTGGTGGTGATGGCTGTGATGGTGATGGTGATGGCTGTGATGGTGGCGGTGATGGCTGTGATGGCTGTGATGGTGGTGGTGATGGTTGTGATGATGGTGGTGATGGTTGTGATGATGGTGGTGATGGCTGTGATGGTGGTGGTGATTGCTGTGATGGTGATGGTGGTGGTGATGGCTGTGATGGTGATGGCTGTGATGGTGGTGGTGATGGCTGTGATGGTGGTGGTGATGGCTGTGATGGTGGTGATGACTGTGATGGCTGTGATGGTGGTGGTGATGGCTGTGATGGTGGTGATGGCTGTGATGGTGATGGCTGTGATAGTGATGGTGGTGGTGATGGCTGTGATGGTGGTGGTGATGGTTGTGATGATGGTGGTGATGGCTGTGATGGTGGTGGTGATGGTGATGGTGGTGATGGTGGTGGTGATGGCTGTGATGGTGGTGGTGATGGCTGTGATGGTGACGGTGATGGTTGTGATGGTGGCGGTGATGGTTGTGATGGTGATGGTGATGGCTGTGATGGTGGCGGTGATGG